TTTTCTTTTCTTTTCAGTTGTTGGACCAAGCAGCACATTCGCAGCACCTGGGTGTTAAGCAGGAATCTAGCCCACTGAAAGCAATGGATTTTGAAGTAAACGGGGAATCTGTTGACAGAAATGGGTATCTTTCAAGAGATTGCCCATAAATAAATAAATGTAAGGTAAAATTCTTAAAAGCATCTAATAAATTAGAAGCCTAAATCCCCATTTTAAAAAAACGACATGTGGTAAACATTTCAGATGCACTCAACAATCTATGAACCCAGACCTCATTTTTCAAAAGTGACTTTAGGATTTAGGATCTGAAATCCCCTTCACTTCACATAAGATTTAGGGAAACATTCTCAAAAGTACCTCTGTGATTTAGTGCTAGGTTCTGAAAGGTATGTAACTGAAAAAAACCCATTTCCTATGGGGGCTAAGGCTGAGGCCTGTTTTTGTGCTCGCGTGTATCATGGTGGTTTATACATCCGGTAGGTGCTCCTAGCACAGTAGTATGTTGCTGTGTCCTGTGGACTCAGGCTGTCCACTCGCAGGTAGAACTCATCCTTGGAAGGGTTCACAGTGATGGTGGTTCGATTTTGAATGTCAGGGAGATAGCGGGTGTTCCCATATCTGTCTATCAATGCCAGCCACACCAGCCCTTTTCCTGGGGGCTGCCTGAGCCAATGCCACCAGTCTCCTCCAGTAGAGAGCGCAGAATCTGAGACAGCACAAGTCAGACTGAGGGACCCTGAGACGGTCACCTCTCCTAAACCGGACTGCGTCATCGTAAACCCCAAGATGGGGCCTGGCAAGAGAGAGAAAATACATTAATGAAAGAGGTAATAAACCAGCAATCAGGGCTGGTTTTCTCGAAGACGTACACCTAAGGTCCCACTGAGACTGAACGGGAACTGGACACCTAATTCCCTGAAACCCAGCCCAAGTCATGATTTCCCACAGTCAACCCCCAAATACTCACACGTGTGGAAGGCTGAGATGGAAATGCAGAACAATAATAGTTTCATATTTTTCTTTACTGGAGAGACTTCTCTGCCACGAACCACCAGCTCATTTCCTTGGGACAGACTCAGGTTCTGAGATTCTGGAGTTTCTCTTTAAAGATGAAACCCGGGGGAAGTGATTTTTGCATACAGGTTTCACAGACAGAGTGTAACACATCAAATGGGGCTGGGCCGGGGGAACAGGTGGGTAAATCCAGAATCTCAGCTCCTTGTGGGTGTACCTCTCAATGGGTGACACTGACTCCTGTGCAGAGGGACAACACAATGCACATAGGGAAAAAATCACTGGAGTTGTGTCCACTTAATTCAGCAGAGTATTTATTCCTTTACCCCTATTTTGAAAGCTTAAGTGATGCACAGGACTTTTACTAGCCCTCTACATCAAAGTTAATTTCACCCAGTGTCCCACACAGAAAGAAGTAAAAATTGGGCTTGAATTCTGTTTTTTTGGGGTGAATGAGAATTGGGCCTTTTACCTATAGAAGTTATATGTCCCCATGACTGTAGTATCTGAGCTCATCAGAGACTTTAATGTATTTCATCTTACAACATCTCTGGGAGGTAGAGAAATAACGTTATCCTCACACAGATAGGGGAAACTAGGCACGAAGGACCAGATTTTAAGGCTATTTAGTTACCTGAACATGAAGATGGGCAACTAGCAGGATTTTCAAAAGTACCTAAGCGCCTACCTCCATCATTAGGTGCCTAAATACCTTGTAAACATCTGTCCCAAAGAGATCAAGGACCAGATTTGCACACGTATTTAGGCAATTAAAAAAGGAGATATGCGCCTAGTGGTATTTGAAAAAGCACGGAGCAGCCTAACATGTTTTGAAATCAATGGGAGTTAGGTGCCTTTTGAAAAATCCCTCTGGGTACCTAAATACCTTTGGAAATCTGGCTCTAAGTTGTCTACTGAAAGTCTTCCCCACAGTACAGAATCCAAGGAAGGTCTCCTGGCCCTTGTCACATGAAATGTAATCCTGTTCTTCAGTGTCTCAGGCTAGTGTCCCCAGCACCAGAACATCCTTCCCCTGACAAGGATAAACAAAGAAGTTGAGATTCTCAAAACTGCCTAGAGGCTTTGAATGCTCAATTCCTTCTGGAAAACAAGTGAGTGTCCAAATCCTTTAGGCAGCTTAGAAAATGTCAGGCTAAAACTTTAACAATGAACATGAAAACAAAGGAGGAAAATGCACAAAGAAAAATGATAAGCAAAATATAAAGGGGCTGATTCTTCTCTCGCACACACCAGTTTTACAGCAGTGGAACTGCCTGGACTTTAATGGAGTTGGTCCCGACTCACGCCTGTGTGGGTGAGAGGAGAATCAGACTCAGTTTTTCAAAGACGTGACACTGGGCCCTTTGGAATGAATGGGACTCTTCCATTGGGAGGAGAATAAGGAGATAAAAAGAATAATTGGAGAGGGTGTGAATGGAGCATAAGGGAACTGACCGTCAAGAGCAGTTGGACACCTAATTCCCATAGGCTTTGACAATCCCTGCCTGTATCTTGTACTGCATGCATCTCAGTCCCATTTTTGTAGTCAGTTTAGGGTGGAATTTTCCAAAACATCCAAGTCCCTTAGGAAGTTAAGGTGAGATTTTCAGAAGAGCCTAGGGTCTTTCTACATGACAGAAGTCAGAAAAGTTACGATTATTTAACTAAAGTTTTGACGAGAACATGCATTAAAGCCCCTCTTGTGGACGCTCTCATTCAGAAGAAAAGTGGCTCTAATCCCTTAAAGGGGGATTTTCCCGAGTGTCCCCATGTACACAAGCACAGTCAAGCAGCACAACAATATAAGTGTCAAGACTGGAATCCAGCACTTGTGATCTCTAGTGCCAAGCCTAGACTAGAACACAGATCTTCTGACTCCCAGTTCGCTGCTCTACCCATTGGGGTGACTTGGAAATCTCGCCTCCCATACTCTATTTTCAAAATCTGTCTATAAACGACCAAACACCCCCCCCCCCAAATTAGCTATCCAGCTCCCATTGGATTTGGATGGCATGTGGGCACCTAACTCTCTTGAGCACCTTTGAAAAATCCCACTCCTACTTTGTAAGAACACTAGTATCTTTTTGGGGGGACAGAATTTTTCTGGAGTCAGGGAATACAAACTTGGGGTAAGCACAAAAGTCAGTGTAGGGG